CTGTTGTGTTTGCTCCACATGAGAAGGAGCTAAGTGTCAGGGTTCGCAGCTGCCTGGTAGAAACTGCTGAAATTTTAATGCAGTAAATAAAAGGGCTGAGATTTGATGACTCTCCAACTAGAGGAGGCTGATGAGTTTGGACAGACCTGAGTTGAGGGTACCATATGGGATGGTTAGGTATTGAAATAACCATGGTGTAGCGGATGGTAGCAAGTTGCAGATGGTGAGGAATGCTTCCTGTTGATTTATCTGGGATAAGAAATGTCACTGGATAGTCCAAGGAGGAATCATTTTCTTAAATGTTATGATGTGGGTAAAACCTAAGAGTAGGGAGAACTCATTTCTTCATCTCTTCACATGCTCCTTAATTTACTCCAAAATAAGCAGGGAATGGGGCAATTGAATCTACATTAAGCCAAATAGATATTCCCCAATCCCAAAGGATAAGGCTCTTACAAAAAACACAAAGAAACTCCTTAGTATCTGATGAAGAGCAATAGTTGCTTAAATTAGATTTTTTTTTTCCTTTTTGTCTTTTTTTTCCTTTTTGTCTTTTTTTTCGTGTCCGGCATCGGACCGCAACCCTCAGTGTCACGCCCGTACCGGACCGGGACCGGCAACAGGATCGCAACCCTTGGTGCTGCGCCCGCCCCTCGCTCAGCCAGTGAGCGGGAACCGGTCTGTATGTGGGATCCGAACCCTCGGCGGGAGTGCTGCCACGCTCCCAACCGGCGCACTGTAGCAGTGCGCCACCGGGCCGGCCCTAAATTAGATTTTTAAAATTCTCAATCTCATTTCCAGATATAATATTGCTCCTCTCTCTCTTTAAAACTATTTTCTGTCTCCTATCAAATCTTTCTTATAGTGAAATCAGTTGCCCCTACCACGTTTCTCTAAGTGAACCTCTTGTCTTCTGCTAAAACCAAAATATTAAGGCATCGCACATTTAGTGAAAATCAGAAGTGTTTTCCCCCCTTTTAAGTTGTATGAAATTACTGGGGGATTTACAGAAAAATTACAAAGTACATTTTGAGCACTAGTTCTTTTTGCTTTTTCACCCTGTCAGTAACACTTGTTTTTGTCCCCGTATATGTGACACTCTTTTTCTCCTTCACACCAAATCTGGTGTGAGTTTTTCCAAGTTGCCCGTAGTGAACATCTGCTGCTTTTACTGGCTAGCACCCCTTCCTCTGTCCTTTAACACACACCAGTTTTCCTTTGGGGAATTATCTGACCCCCACCTGGTGGGGCTGCAAATCACGTGCCCTGCCTCCATCACTACAGAGGTGGGCATGTAATGCCATGGCATACATTCAGGCTGATGGGAGCTTATCATCCCATGGGCCATACTGGTGAGCCTGGTAGTGGACAAATGATACAGAGAGAACTGGCTTTTATGAGGACTGATATTAATTCTAGGTTTTTCTTCTGTGATTATAGACATAGAGATTTTGTGAACATGTAGTACCTTGGGATCATCTTTGCTGGTATGTGGAGATGAAGAATGCATCCAAGAGAAGAAAAAAGTTTAGAGAGAGAGAGAGAGAGAGAGAGAGAGAGAGAGAGAGAGAGAGAGAGAGAGAGAGAGATTTTTTTAAAGTTGCGACTTCTACCTAAAGACATTTCTGGAACTGCTAATAGTTGGTGGAATTGCATAGAGAACTTTGAAGACTTCTCCATCGTCCTAATGTACTATGTTAGAAACAAGTTATATTACAATTTGCAAGAGCTGGGGGATTACATTTGTTTTGTAAGAACTAGGTTAAGGAACAGTTCTAGAAGCCCTAATTAAGTGATTATATTGTTTGAGAGAACAACTTCTCTTTCTACTTAAATGAAACACTTACTCACAAAATCACAACTGGAACTTACGGTTTGACATTTTCTTCCCACTTTTTGGCACTGCACTTGAGCATGGTACCTTAGCCAAGAGAAACCCATGGCAATTCTAGTGACATTTTGTTAGAAACACATCTATGCTCTTAAGTAATCTTAGTTTGGGTGTCATAAAGTTGAATAAGAACATAATGTAATAGAATTTCAGGCAGTGTTACCTTTCAGAAGGCCAAATCATACTTCAGAGGTGGGACAGGATTAAAATTCATATGGTTATCAGAAATATTTGGCTAAATCATGAATTTAATTCATCCACGAACATATCGGTTCTAATGGATATATTCCTAACCTTTTGAAGTTGATGTCATTTATGCTACCATCATAAATTTCCCTACATGTCATAATTCTAGCTGAATGGATTATTTTCCATGATCTTATATTCAAGACAAATGAAAGTTTCTCTTTCACCATCCCCTCCTCTATTTTCTTCAATAAAATAACAGTAATGAAATAAGTCAGTTACAGTAATATTGATTTTATTTTTTGTTGGTTTGGTGTGTAGGTATTCCAGCGAAGCAGATTTCAACTTGCTATCAGGCAAGCTTTCTAACATAAAGTGGTGGCCTATCCCATCACTGGCAGGATTCAAGTAGCAACCGTCCTAGTAACCTGAATCCTGCCAGTGATGGGATAGGTCACCATTCATGCTGAGAATGTTGTAGAAGGGATTTGTGCATTGGTGTGAGTTTTGGGCAAAATGACATTTCAGAGCTGTTCTAACTCCAGGAGACTATATATTACTAGAGGTTACACTGATACTATTAATAGTACTCTTAAATTCTATTACTAATAGTAATAATTACCATTTGGTAAGCATCTATTATTTGCTATATACAGTGCTAGGCATTTTACATATATATCCCAGTTGCCACATCATACAACTTCTTTGTAGCTATTATCCCCACCCATGGATTAGAGACCTACCTGTTGTTCTCTAATTCACCTGTGTTGTCTCGACCCTTCTAGTAGATCACAAACTCAAGACAGAAGAAAGTGTATACTTTGTATTGTTACTTACTGTTGCTGCAAATATGGAAGGGTGAAACGGATTCAACTTAGAAGTTGTCTGTACGCACCATGCTGACAAATTTTTCAGGAAAGCCCTGAAACTTTGTTCCTTGAGTCAAATTTCCCATGTGGTACATTCATTGCAGTGTTCATTGTAGAATTGTTAGATTGTTTTTACTGAATTGTTGTACAAGGGGAGAGGGGTAAAAATAGAAGTTCAGAAGAGAAGACACAATGTTTAACCTTAAATTATTTCCTTTTCCCCGCCAGGACAATAAGAACTACCCTACTTTCTTGAACATTGTTCATTTCAGTATTTTGCTGGAAGAGGGGGGAAATTTACAGTATCAAGATGATCCACCCATAGGAATATAGTAAGATGTTTGTGGCCTGACATACTGAAAATAATGTTTGTTTTATAAGTGCCATGCATAATCATTTTTTTTGGTCATTTACAGCAATGGGAAAAGGGTAACATGCTGGAACTCTAAATGTCATGTGGTCTACATAAGAGGTATTTTTTTTTTTTTGTCTTTTTCGTGACTGGTAAGGGGATCGCAACCCTTGGTGTGTTGTCGCCCGCACCGTGCTCAGCCAGTGAACACACCAGCCACTCCTATATAGGATCCGAACCCACGGCGGGAGCGTCGCTGCGCTCCCAGCGCTGCACTCCCCTGAGTGCGCCACGGGGCTGGCCCTACGTAAGAGGTATTTTAAAATTGCCTACACCATCAATATCATCAGCCAGTGTTTTGCCAGTAGCTTTCTACAGAATCATATCTTTTTATTATAGCTATTTGCAAGCAGTTATTAGTGCATTTACCATTTCTGAGTTTTAATACAATTGCAACTCAGGGAATCCGAAATCAATAAAGTTTTAGATGGGATGTGCCAGTGGAATGAGAGTGATTTGGAAGCATCGACATTTGTACCACTTGGGGAGATCATTCTTGTTGAGTAGTATGGAGACTCAAAGCTCTGCTTCTGGCAAATATGAAAAAGCTTTGGGCCATAGAGAGCAAGTGGCTTATTGGGAATATCAGCAGGGAGCTTCTTTTTTAATCCATGGGCTAATATGTAAAGATTCTATTTGAGAATCAGACCTGTGCTCTGAAGGTTGGAGAATGGTATTTATTCTTCTTTCTACACACCTAGGATGGAATATTAGTGTTAAAAGGGACTTTGGTGGTCAGGTGACCTCACTTCCTAAGAAGTCAAGAGACTAATGGAGTAGCTTAAAGTCACCTGGTCACCATATCATGAATGAAGTCTTTTGAATTCCAGTTCAGTGCTTTCCTCTTTACCCCTACAGTCTCTTCCAAACCTCAGAATCCCCCAGTGTTATCTAAAAGACTCCAAAGCCATGGAAATGGTTATCATAACAGGAGAGCTACAGGATACTTTCTCAGCTCTCCACCATCTCAGTATCTGTGTAACTTTGGGAAAGTTATTTATCATCTCTGAGCAACATTCTTATCTGTAGGATGAAATAGTAATAGTGCCCCCTCCAATAGGGTTAGAGAGATTAAATTAGCTAACACATGCAAAGCACCTAAAACATTATTGTTAGTCTCAGATCTTTCTCCTTTAATAATGAGCATTTAATTGTGTAGACATCTAAATTATTTGAAGGGGCTGTTGCTGTATTGGGATTCAAGAAGGCCCTAGTTAATGTCTTTTTGGTATCATTATTTTGATATATCCATGTTCTTATCTAAAACCTCATTTTGGAATTTTTAATAAAAATCCAGTGAGGGGAAAACTCATCTAATAATTTCACTCACATACATTTCACTCTTGGATCACTTGAAGGGAAGCCCAAGGAATATGAAAAACTATAAAATTTCAGCTTTATAGTTCCAAAGATTTCTCTATTATCATCAAGTTATGTTTTTAAGATGGGGTAGGAATAGAGAGATTTCCATCATATTTTACAAATGTTTGCAACACTGTGTGTATGTGTTTGGGTGTTAAAATAAAAAGAAACTTTCTTCATAATCTCTTAAAATACCTTTAAGGATAGTTAATTATAGGTTTTCTGATTGATTGCCATGGGATTGTTAGCTCAGAATGCAAGAAGTATTCAAATCTTCTGATTTAATGGATTAAAAAATTTAATTACACATTTAAAGTCCTGATTACACCCTAGGGATTTTATTTGCTTATGAAAAGTTAGACTATGAATTACAATATTGCAGAATAATTTTCACTTCATCATATAAGTTTTACCACTCATTCCACAAGTGATTTGTAAAATTTTGCAATACCTAAAAAACTTTGATACTACATTACAAAAAGGTACTTAAATATAGATGAGAAAGATAGATGCTTGTCTTCTCCTTTTGATATTGATATTAAATAAAAGATGAAATGCTTTTATTTAAAACCAATCCCTCATTTCCCCCCACAAACACAATAAGTACATAGCAATGTGAACGAAGGCTTACTTTAGATCTGTTATTCAGTTCAAATGTGTGTTAGGAAAAAGGTCTATTCTGTGTATAAAATATAACAACAAAAAAAGGGAATTGTAAATAGAAAAATAAAATATGTAGAGGAGACAAATATTCTGTGCACATAGCTTTAAAATCCCAATAGAGAACACTTGTCAGGAGAGACTACACATTCATTAACTTAAACATAAATTCCCAAAGAACAATATTCCAGCATGTTAATTTGCCACGACAGATTTAACCTTTGAAATCAGTCCACCAGGCTTTACCAGCAAGTAGCATCTTAATTTTACCACCTAACAGTTCAGTAGAAATGGAATAGAGATTTTGATACAAGTGTCTTAGTAACACACTTTCCTAGATCGTAATGGAGCACCTACTGGCATTCAGGCAGTTCACAGGTAAGGAAACTCCTTGTAGGTATCATCTCTTCACACAGTAGCAGGGTCTTAAGTGGAAAAGGGCTCTGTTCACTTTCTTTTTATCACAGGAAGGGATTAGATAGAATTGGCTGATGAAAACAGCTTATTTTTTTGAAATCAGTTAAAAAATCGAAAGTTATGAATAAAAAGTAATGCGGGAAAGGTAGCTGGCTGGGTTTCCTCTCTTCTTTACAGTGATATGGTAAAGATACAAGGAAAATGCTTAACACCCTTTAATTAGAAAATCTGGTCCCTTCACTTGCTACAGGGCTCAGTTTGGAATAAAGAAAAAAAATTTTTTTTGGCTGTAGCTTTAGTAAACAATAAATGATGAAAATTATTGTCTTCAAGAGACCTGACAACTCAGAACGCAGACCTGATCACATTGATATTGTCTACATTTCTCCACAAAGCTTGGCAATGAATAACTGAGCCCTATTTTGGTGGAACAAGAGGAAAAAGTACTAGTTCCAGCATCAAAACAAGATTATGAAAACAACCAATCAACACCAAACAGTTATTTTTTTCTCCTGAATAATAAAGACATCATGTTTGCATATAGAACAGCTTTTGCATTATTGCTCTACGTATAAGAATATATTAAGGAACTTATAACAGACTGCACACTACAAACTTAAGGTTCTTTGGTGAAGAATGAAAGAAAACAGTATTTGAGCTTTAAAGAAAATTATGTCATCCATTTTTGCTTTTATCTATTGATCCGTTGAATCCTCTCACAGAGCAGGGAGAGGTACTGCGTGAGTTTCACCATGGCAACGATCGCCACACCCCCGGCCATCATACAGGTGGGCCAGAAGAGGGAATGGAACAGCACGTTGGAACTGTAGAGTTTGGTTAGGATGACACTCTTCTGGTTTCCTTCTGGGTCAGAATAGCAGGAGAAGTGTTGGTACTTCCTGAAGTTTTCCATGACAACACTTACCAGGGACATGGATTCTTCAAAGTTTTTTCCACACTTAGGTATATAGGAGCACTGTGGAAAATGAGATAAACTGTTACCACAAGATATTCTCTCTGTGTGTGTGTGTGTGTGTGTGTGTGTGTGTGTGAGAGAGAGAGAGAGAGAGAGAGAGAGAGAGAGACACTTGGGGCTGGGGAGAGGGGGATATATTGTGGCTAACTTAATGACCTGTGAAATAACCATGGGGATTATTCTTTTCATATTTAAACTGGTGCTTCCAGAAACCTTAAGAAATCACACATTGATTAAAATCAATGTTTTAAAGTATCTGACCAAGTTGTTTCTTGATAGCTTACCCATATATGATTTAATTATTGATTAAACTCAAATGATGAATATGTTAATTAGCTTGATTTAATCATTCCGCATTATACACATAAAAGAAAAATGACTCCCAATGGATCCATTTTGCCATAGCTAAGGGTGGTAGGTTTTAATGATTCCCTATTGAACATATTTCTCCACGGAATCAGAGCGCCAACCTTTCCGTCTTCTGTCTGTCCACATCTGTTTATGTAATATCAAAAGATACAGGTTCTTTAAGGGAAGTAGTTTACCCTTATCTTTTTGGCTAGGCTTCATTTTATTCATTTAAGTAACTGGTTACCTTGGTACTGTCAAGCAAACAGCTGCACCTCTGTTCAACTGCTGAAAAAGGAATCTTGGAAAGTGTAGGGATATTTAATAGTTAAAAAACTGTGATGAGTGGCTCATATCTGCCAAAGTAACTTCTCTCATAAGCCAAGGAAAAATAAAACAGAACCACGTCACTGTATTCTTCAATCACCACTCACCTGAGAACTTACAGTTCCTTTCCTTTGATCTTTTTATCTCTCATCTTTCTTGCTATCTCTTCTATGTGTCTCTCCTCTTTCTTTCCACACATTTACATCCTTTTTTTCCTTTGTATTTCTTTTCCTCCTTTGCCCTCCCTCCTCAACTCCCACCTGCCTTTATATTTTTCTCTGTGTTCCCTTTTTGTGTTTCTTTTCCCTGTCTCCTCATTCTCTCTTCTCTGGATACAGATGGAATTAACTAACTTCTTTGTAGTTTTTTTTTTATTATATATTAGGCATATGGACAAGTTTTTCCTAATTTAAAAAGAGGTCTTTGAGGAGATAGAAACTCTGTGACCCCTTTTTCTTGATCTATAAATATGCAGTGGCAAACGTGATAGAATAATGAGGCTAATTTTTTTAAAAAGTTGGGAAAAACATGATTTAAGTTACTTTCCTGGGAGATATGAGGGTCCATGGTTAACTCTTTTCCCTTTCTATGGAAAGTACCACCCAATGGGAAAAAAAATTCCTGCCCCTTGTTATATAATCAAGTGATTAATTTAACTAATTTATCTGAATTAAATTGGTTTCGAAGAGGATCATTGCTAATCTATATAGTGTTTTAGTGTAAATTAGAAAACTCTGCCTCCTCTTCAAAACACTATTATTTTCAGTTGGAAAACTATCATAACGAACTGATTTTATACCATACATCTTACTACCATTTATCAATTTATAAGTTGTGATTCTTAATATTCACATCTATGACTTTTACAATGTGATTGGTACCATAGGGTTGTGCAGTGCACAACCTAGATAACTGTCTGCAGAGACACAGATGAGGTGGGCTGTGGGTGAAATTTGAGGTATATTAATGAGTTTTGGGGTAGAATCCTGGAATTTCAGAGGAATTTAGAGCCGTGGATTTCACAGGAATAAAATATAAAAGAAATGAAATGAGTTTTAGCTGGAGTATATTTGGAGTATATTTAGATTAGTCTTTCCCCTGACTTTATTGGTAGGCAGACGGGCATCTTGCTTTGTTGGCTGAGCTGTAATCATTGAATTTCTTGATTATAAACAGCAGCAAGGTTCTTTGATTAGTTAAGAATGGAGGATGAATATTGCTGGTATTTATCATACATGATGCTTAAAGTGATGTTTTTATGGCAAGGTCTGGTTGACACCTTGAAATTTAACCAAACTAACCATAAATGTAAATACACTTGTATATGTAAGTACAGCGGAGAGTTGGTTCTAGCACAGCCTTAAGGGTCTGAAAGTATCTTCAAGTAACCAGAATTTCTCAGTGAGTTACATCTTAGCATAAAAATTGGCCTATGACCATCATAAAGCAAATTTCCTACCAGTTGGATACCTCTGGATTGAAATAGTTTGAGGTAGTATGAGGGTATCTCTATTTTTGCCCCACTTCAAAGTTTCACAGATCATGTCTTTAAAATTTTTAAAATGTTTTTTGAAACAAAGCACTAAAAAAAAAAAAAAAAAAAATCACAGACAAGCCATTTGTGGTTGAATTCAAACTGAGCCAATTTAG